CCTATGATGCTAACCTCCGGGATCACCACGGTGCTCCACATTTTTTCTTGTTGGGTACTCGTTTCCAAGTCTGGGCTGGGAAGCAGAGGGGCTGCTCTGGCTACCTCGGTGTCCTATTGGTTGAATGTGTTGTTGCTTGCTCTTTATGTCAAGTTCTCAGATTCTTGTTCCAAGACTTGGACTGGGTTTTCGAGGGAGGCGCTTAAGAACATGAGGACTTTCGTTGTGCTTGCAGTTCCCTCTGCTGTCATGGTCTGGTATGTTTTACCCTTGTTGAAGGATGTGCTTCTTAACTACACATTTATGTTTATATATTATATGCTCAACACGCCCTCACGTGTACAGGTCAATTACTTTTTTATTTGAAACCATATCTAGGTTGGCTTTGATACCAAATTGAAAGATGTGCTCTGTCTCAACTAAAAGTCTAAGATGATAGTTTGACTGCACATTTATGTTTCTATTGTTGGGCGGAGGCCGGTAAAGGGCTAAGTTCATCAATTGGTGGCTAGGTCATTGTTGGGCGGAGGCCGGTGAAGGGCCAAGTCTAGCAGCCTTTCGAAAATGTGAAGGCTGGTCGGTTTATAAGGAAATAAAGTTGCACATTCACTATCAACTATAGCTTTTTGCATAGTGGTTAGTGGTAAGCGCTTGTTCCTAACAAGTGGTATCAGGTCACGGGTTAGGAGTTTGTTGGGCAGAAGCCAGTGAAAGGCCAAGTCCAGCACCCTGTCTCTTGAAAATATGATGGCAGGCCTTCGGGCTACTTATATACTCAACACTTATCTCATTTGTTGATAGCTTGGAGATGTGGTCATTTGAAATGATGGTTCTGCTCTCCGGTCTTCTCCCAAATCCAGAATTACAGACTTCAGTGCTTTCAATCTGGTTAGATCAGAACACAGAACTATATATGAATCTTATGCCTTCAATTTCTTGAACACCATTTATAACAATAATCTGTAATTCACAGCCTCAACACAGCAGCAACAGTTTGGACAATCCCCTTCGGGCTCGGGGCTGCAGTAAGGTCAGTTACACACATACCTACAGCTCCTCTTAACGTTGTTGAATCCCGAAAAGCTTGATGACGTTTTGGGACCGAGAGCAGTAAGACTATTAACATAGCGTTATGCAATAATGCAGCACACGAGTGTCGAATGAACTGGGAGCGGGGCACCCGAGGACAGCACAGTTGGCTATCTGTGTTGTCTTGGCAATCACGGCTGGTCTGGGCATTCTGATAGGGTCGGTGATGATACTGATACGCGATGTCTTGGGATATGCTTACAGCAACAACATACAAGTAGTTGAGTATGTGTCGTCCATGATGCCTATTTTGGCTTTATCGAACTTCTTAGATGGACTCCAGGCTGTGCTTTCAGGTTGGTTTTCGTAAAACACAGAATCCGTTTACTTCAGAAAACTGCTCTCTATTTTCTGTTTTCTAATTTTTCAGTTTTTATTATCTGAATTTGGAATTTGCAAGTTGCAACTCCTCATCTGTTTTGGTTTTTTTATAAACTTGTGTATAGGGACTGTAAGGGGGTGTGGATTGCAAAAGATTGGAGCAATTATCAACCTTGGATCTTATTATATTGTGGGGATTCCTTCCGCTGTTTTGATGGCTTTTATTTTCCACATTGAAGGAAGGGTAAATTCTAAATATTTGTTTTTTTTTTCCTTGAAAATGTATAATTTGACTAATGCCAAAGACTTTGTGGTCGAATGGCATAACTGGGAGGCCACAAGTTCGAACCTATAGACATATACTATAGTGTAACAGAGTAAATGATTTATGCACAGGGCCTGTGGTTAGGGATTATATGTGCATTGACAGTGCAAGTGGCTTCTCTTCTCACTATCACCATTCGGACAAACTGGGAACAAGAAGTAAGCATATCATATCCCACCATATATATTTACTTTATTATACATCAAGTGGGTTGTGTTTGGTATGATGACATCAAATTACAATAATTCTTTTCCCTAAAAGAAAGAATGATAGATCAATAATAGGCAAGGAATGGAAATTGCTAAAGTAAATATAAAGGTGAATTAACACATACTTCTTTGAGGGGTGTATAAAGGTGAATTAACACTTACTTTTTTTGAGGTGTTTGGTAAATAGTTGCTAGTTGATTGATTTAGTGGGTTTCACTAATTGATAGCATTAGCTAATTGTAGAAAGATCTTTGATAAATTAGTTGTTAGCTAATAGCTTATTACACGCATGCAAGATGACTTTTTCAAAAAGCTGCTTTGAACAGCTTTTTAAATTTTAGCGTTTTGGAGCAATAAACTGTTAAAACTAATTAATCAAACACGTATATTGGTTGTTAACTCAGTCAAACAATTAATAGTGGTCAAATAAGCTAAAATTGACTGATAAGCTAACTATGTTACCGAACAAGGTCTCAGTACAACGAAACTGAGTGAAGACGTTTGTATTGTTTAGTATTATGAATTGCCCCAACAGGGTGCATATAGCTAGGTCATTTTGGACCTAATTGCATGAATTTGTGTAGTTCGGGGACCCAATTGCATTTCTTTTGAGTTCGATGACCTAATTGCAATTTGATGTACAGTTCAGTGGCATATTTGACCCTTATTCCTTTTTTTAAAAAAAAATGTATTTCTATACTTATTTATTTTTTAAATTTAAAACCCTAAAAGATGCTTTCATAGTTAAACAAGTGAGCAGCTCTAGACTTGAGCCAAGCGCAACTCAAGCTATCGAATTTGGATAAAACTAGCCTTGAGTTTCAAATTTCAAATCAAACTAAATTTCGAACTTGTAGTGTTTAAATAATTATTCTCAGCTCGATTGCACCTCTACACCAATTAGAGTTAAATTTTGCTATAATCCAAAACTAGAATGGAAAAACAAACTCATTCTCATCCTACTTTATGGTACTAAAGACAACCTAAAAGGCTCATATATATAGTCTTGTTTACTTTGTGTCACTTGACAAGTGCTTTTATGATGTTACATTATTATCCTTTTATGATACAGGCAAAAAAGGCCAGCGAGAGAGTCTACCATTCTGCAATCCCAATTGAGATAGTTTCCTGATTCACCCATCAAAATTACTAATTACAATATGGCCTGGCCGGAGAGAAGAATTTTGAAACATTTTTTTTTCTTTTTCCTTTTGAATTTGAAATAATGTATGATCTGTTCAAATGTTAGAGCATTTTCAATAGGATTTTTTTCATGGTTTTTGAAACAGTAAAAAATTAGAGGTTTGATTTTTAACAAATGTGGAGTGTTTTTTTGTTGGTTTTTTCTCTTGCTATTTTTTTTTTTTTTTTTTTTTTGTGGGGCCCGAAATGTGAGAGAAAATGGAAAACAACACAGGGATTCTACCTATGCTTGCTGGGCGCATATTTATAAACGTTTTCAATATTTTTTTTGTCAGATTCTTTTTAAATCTTTTTTTTTTCTTCCCCTTTTCCCTTTATCTTCTATCTCCTAATTGACACTTCAAAAATTGTGAAAATCAAGAGCTGATGAGGATGCTCATACATTTTGTACCAAGCTGGAGGTCAAATATCTAGCTACCTCGTTAAACTCTAGACGCAAATTATTAGATTTTTATGATCATATTTGTACTAGGGCAAGATATATAGATAGTGACATCAATATGCTAATGCAACATGCATGCATGCAATTCATGATAAATAACAGCTTGCGTTTATTGAGCTTTTAGTATTCATTGGGCCATGTATTAGCATATATGTTCACACTCAGAAGTTGCAGTTGAAGAGATTTGTCCATATTAAAAGCCAGTACATTTATATAGCTATTCATATATACTCCGTAATATATACATTAGCATAATACCATATAAGTAATTACGTACTTAACTGGGGGAAGAACAAGGATTGAATAATAACCAAGCCCCTCATTTCATGGAATTGAAAATTCCACCCTACGCCTCCCCAAGAATGGGGATTCGAAGCTAGATGGGAAGAAAAAAAGGTGTTGTATTGACAATCCTACCCCTTTTTCTTTACCAAAGATGGAGTTATTATTATTATTATTATTAGTGCTCTTTTATTAGGCGGTGAAATTTTGCATATACATTGTGTTGCCTAATAAACTTGGTTGTTCAAGATATTTTGTGTTATTGGGAAAGAGAAATAATTCGTGATAGTGTCAACATCTACTCCAAAAAGAGGGGAAATGATTAAATATACTACTCCGTATTAGATAATTAGGTATTCAGACTTCAAAAAAGTTGTCTCTTGATGTTAAAACTAGGTAAAACTCCACTTATTTGCTTTGCCTTACAATACAGTTTTTCCTCATCTAATACAGTTTGATGATGATTAGTTCTTTGCAAGTGAGATTTGTAAAAAATTAAAATTATTTTTGATATCACAGAATTGTTTTTAGGGACAATGTATCCCTCCAAGCACTCTTAGACCTTGTCAAGCTCCCCCAAAATATGTCCTTCCAACGTTCCAAAGAACTTGTAACCTTTACTCAGAACATGGATGGGTATAAAATGAGCCCCCATGAGGCATATCTATACTCATTCTACCTCTTCAACAAACGATGAATGTCTACTTGATCCTACGATTATGATTCTTTCTCTAAAATCCTCTTTAAAATTCTATACAATCATATGGGTTCTAAAAGATTCTATGAATCTCTGCATCTCTAGTGCTACATACATGATTCGCGAAAATTATACAAACTTTAGGAAACTATGTACTACTGCAGAAAATGTCTAGAACGATGTAACTAACCTCCAAAATGTGTGGCAAAGTGGCTCGGGGGCACTACACTAAGCTCATAAGCCTTGTTTACTTTTACGGTCACTTGACAAGTGCTTTTATGATGAAAAATGCTTCGTAGCATGAATCACTTGCATTATGACAAAGGCAAAAAAAAAAAGGTCAGGGAGAGAGTCTACCATTCTGCAATTCCAATTGTGATAGTTTCCTGATGCAGCCATCAAAATGACTAATTACAATATGGAGAAGAATTCTGGAACATTTTTCTTTTCTTTTTCAATTCGAAATTATGTATGAACTGTTCAATTGTTGCATGAATGAACACAAGATTGAGAGTGACATCAGTATGGCTCATATTAATGAAGAGGCTCCTGCAAGGCTGTCCACAATTCACGATAAATAACAGCATGTGTTTATTGACCAGTATATTTATATAGCTATTTGTCCATATTATTCCTCTAGTAACTAGAAAAGAGCCGACATGATTTACCTGTTAATTGTTGGCCTAGAAGATGGTTCCACCTCAAAGACTGAGAAATCCAAGGACATAGGATGATAGGAGAGCCTGCTCACTCATATGAATTCATTCCCATCGACATCTCTTATCCGCTTATGTGGCATTTCCCTCAAATCCCTCACGAGTAGGCATCACTCTCCTTGACTTTCTTGTTGGAGATAATACAACAGGTCCATCTTGCAGATTAAAATCTGAAACTGGGTTTTCTGAATCCCGCTTCGGTGGAGGTCTCGGGAGCAAAGCTGGCTCAGTTGGTGGAGGGAGAGATGAAAAGTACCTAAGCAGCACAGGGTAAACGTTGAGTATAATCCACAATTCCACATGCTAACTATTATGTTCATTACGAACGTATGCAATACAAACCGGTGTTCCAATGCCTGCTGTGCTGAAATCCTAGCTTTCGGATCATACAGAAACATCTTTGTCAATAGATCTAGAGCATCATCACTAGCCAAAGGAAATAGAGTGCGCAGAGGCTGTCCTGGAACATATTGGAACTCCACATAATCAGGCAGGTAAATCAGGTTAGGCCACTGGGATTGTTTTGGGGTACCAAAAACTGCAAAAATCTTTCCCAGCTGATCAATGTCACTGTTCCCCTAAAGAGTTTCCATGAGTTTTTAACAAACAGGTCAGGAAATACATAATACACAGAACATAAGAGAGACGATCTATTATTGCGAAAAATAGCAGAGCAAAATGTTCTTCCTTTTCTTTTCAAATAAAAAGTGATCTTGAAAGGGATACTAGGGATAATTTTGAGTTCTAATATTCTAGGTATAATGGATTACTCCAGGAAGCTCCAGCTCATTGCAAAATTCCAGTTTAAACAGGAGAAGAAGAATGTAATATAGGTTATGTAAAGAACGGTATGAATGACACAAAGGAAAATCTGCAATTCAGTACATATAGGGTATGTAATACAACACACAAGACCAAAAGAGAGATCATCCAAAGCTTTGATGTTACGGAAATTTCAAGTATCAGTATCAGTAGCAACAAGACACAGAACCAAAACGTGGTCAAGGAATGAAACAGTTTTCCTAATTGAATATTCAGGCATTCTAAAGTTTAGTGCTGCTTGACCATGTTAAGATTACCTTCCACGCAAAGTAATCCAGAATGAATAAATGGGAAGTGTTATTCTTTTTAGGAGAAAAATAAAATGCATGATAATTACACAATCTAGATTTCTAGGCAATAGAGAAGTTGAGATCTTATAATATATAGCAAAACAACAATAAAGAGCTTCAATACAACTTGACACATAAAAACAAGTGTTACCCGCCAAAGATAAATGTAAAAGGTTATTAAGACATAAAGAACGAATAACTTGTGATGTTCACCTGCAGAAAGGGTCTTCGTAGAAGTAGTTCGGCAAAAATACAAGCAGCAGCCCATATGTCAACTCCAGATCCATATTGCTTGGCACCAAACAATAACTCTGGTGCTCTATACCATGTGGCAAAGACCTAACAATGTGTAAAAAACTTGAATAAGTACTCTTTCTTATCTCAACCAGTACAGGATTAGCAAGCAAGACGAGATGACTTTACCAAGTCAGAAAAAAAAAAATTAAAAAAAAAAACACACACATGGTCCTTTAAAAATTTGAAAGAGGATCAATCACACTTTTAGACCCTATTTTTATATTACTTTTAGAGCAAATATAGCATATTCTGCAAATATCCTCTTCAACAAAGGTAACTTTGAGGAAAAATAGAGTTCAAAACTTGTGCCTTTACCAACAACTGTTTCTAGAACATGGAAATATTTATAATTTGTAAGAGACACAAAACCTTATTAGTAAATCTTCTGTCTGGGCTGCCAAATAAACGGGCTAACCCAAAGTCAGCAAGCTTGAGCTGGCCATTAGGTCCAATTAATAAGTTGTTTGGTTTCATATCCCTGTAATGAATAAAATAAATGAATTTAAGTGAATCAGGATAAAATCAAAGCCTAAATAAGCAACTTGTTCATGAAGATCTTACCTATGCAAGACCCACTTTTTATGGCAAAATGCAAGTCCCTTTAGTGTCATCTGCAGATATGACTTTATATCTGCAGGCGAGAGAACTATATTTCTATCACGAATGACAGCTTCCAAATTGGTCTCCATGAACTCAAACACAAGATGCAAGTTCCCATCACGAGGAAAGGCATCGGTCAATTCAATTATATTAGGATCCTTTAGCTCTTTCAATAGTTTGATTTCCCTCAAGGCAGTGAACTCCACACCTTCTTCCTGCTTCCCAGGGCGAATTTTCTTAATGGCAACTACCTGTCCTGTCTGCGTATTCAAAATTGTAGTATGGACAGTTCCGAAGATTAAAGATTAAAGAATTACTACCCGGAAAACAAAGTAGCCAAAACAAGCCGAGAAATCTAAGAACCTGTCTTGTCAAGTTTGAGATGCAGTACTTAAAGACTAAATAACAAATTACAATCAGGAAAACAAAGTGGCTAAACAACCTGCCAGACCTCAGAGCCTATCTTGTTACAATTTATTTAATGTGTCCAATTTCTTTCCAGTAACTACAGAATTTATATTGTACTAGTTGCCAAGCTAGAAGGCATATCAATTGAGTTCTAAAGGGTCCAAATTGCCGGGTTCATTTCACATAAGAAATCAGAAAGGGAAAGAAAAGAAAAGCACACAGAGATTAATTTAGTGCAAGTAATTTACCTTAGTATCGATAGCTTTGAAGACCTCACCATATGTACCTTCACCAAGAGCTCCGCGCTTCAGATAACGATCCACCACTTTCCTATTACTACTCTCTAGCAGTTCCGACATGACCTTGGCACAAGATATCGATAAAGGAAAGCAAACCCTAGTGCTGCAGAAAGAGTATTTTCTAGAGGAAAAATGATCGAAGCTGCTTTACCCGGAGTAGACACTCCCTTCACCGCCTGTCGCCGTCAATGCTCCCCCGACTATCGCCGTTCACCATGCTCCAAAACCGCTTAAAGGTGAAGGAGGAGAAGAGATGATCGGTTTAAACTTCAAAGTAAGATTGAGTTTGAAGGAGGATAGGACTTATTCTCTTAAACATAGTTAATTCCAACCATGTTAATTTTTTAAAATTGATCATCATATTTTAATTTAGACAAAAAATATCCTTATTAATCCTTTTGTTAACCTTTAGTTCGTTAGGCGTTAATGTAGGGGCTAAAATAATTATTTCTTTAGCTTTTTTTCTTCTTCCCCTGTTTGAGATGTTAGAAAATCTTGGACAGCATTTTGTCGAGCTCGACTCAACTCTACCCCGCAATTAGCTTCCCGAAAAGCTCTTTTCCAACATTTGCAAGCATTACGATTTTTTATCTTTAAGGTTTAACATCATGTCTTACTGTGCTATAGATTTACTTCTTACGTTCCATTTTTTTGGTGATTTAGTGGGTTTCTTCTTTTAGCTATTCGCAAGCTGGGTTTGAAATGAAGGACGTGTTTCTACACGTCAAATTGATAGAGCAAGCGTCAATGGAGGATCACCCAGCGATTATGATACAAGAAGTCTCTGATGGTGAAGTATTAAGGCTCACATTTGCTTGTAACTCTTCTATTTCCTGGTCAGCCATGTCCGGGGCACTTGATAGCGTCTCGATTTGTTGTAAAAAGATATAGATCTTCGAGAAGAAAGGGTTCACATTAGGGGTTGTTTTGCTTTCAGTTCAATTCGATCAGAAAAAAAAAATGTTCAAAACTCGGATAAAAAACACTATTAAATCCACTCTTAAGAAGCCAAAAACTATTAAGCTCCCTTTTGGACTCTGTGGGTGTCAAGAACAGAATACTCGAGGGACAGAGGTTGGGAAGATTGAGGATGACTGCAATCAACCAAATTATAAGAATTGAAGCGAGAATTTAAGCCTGGAAATTCAATTCCAAACACCTTTGCCCAGATCTTCATTCCTAGTATCTGTGGATGCAATCTGGTGGGGATGAGATTGAGAAGTGGCTTTTGAGTTCCAACACCCTCGAGTTTAGTGATCAGACTGGACCTTGCACATTCAAAGAGGTATGCAGTGGGGAAGAAGAAAGCAAGCTAAAGAAATGACAATTTTAGCCCCTACACTAAAACCTAACAAACTGAAGGTTAATGGAAGGACCAATGCTGGAATAAATCTGATAGTTAAGGGTCTTATTCGTCCAAATTAAAAAAACTAGAACCAATTTTGAAAAATCACAATAGTCAGAGCGTTACTGAATGCTAGTATGAATTGGGTTCATTCTTAGGTTTTTTTAAAGTCTTTGGAGATGATGAACAGTTCATATTTATTCTCTTCAAATATTGTTGCTCAGGAGTTCTTTCATCAACAAAGATGACTTCTGGATTAGATGAAGATATAGCTTCCAGTGATTCAATGCCCTATTTGAAAAAAAAAAATAAAAATAAACGATTAAAAACGTTAGCATAAAAACATTTAAAACAGTACATAAAATTTTTCTTGAACTCTTTTTCATCAGCAAGCTTCATAATAACACTTCCTTCTTCACTTTTTTTGACCGAATTACCTATTGCTTCGTCATTTTTCACTACTAGAACAATAAAAGCAGCATTTCCCCTATAATTGAATTGATCATGTCGTGGGACTATCCTTAAACTTCATGGTCTTTCCAATCAATCATCAATTTCATTGGGCATACAACCCTCCTATGTCAACCAAAAAATAATAATAAATAGTATAAAACAGATAATATTATTAACATGATCTAAAACAAAGTGGTGATTTCACTAACCTCAGAATATTTCCTCTTCAACTCGCTAACAGTGACCCCTAATAGAGACGAACACAAATTATCTCAAAGTAGTAGTTGGCCATCTTGCTCAACATCCGGAATAACAATGACCACTCTATATTTAATTATTCTGTCAGTCAACTGTTTGTCACATGCCTTACAGTACATTTTATCTTTATTTTCTTGAAGTTTCTTCCCACAGCCCTTAATCTTACATGCAGTGAAGCACCAATCGCGTTCAATATCTAAAATTTCTCCAACGACCCAAAATTCTTTTACATATAAATGATATTTAAAATGCGTTAGCAATTTAGCAGTTGAATATTTAAACGAATTCAATATAAATTGAATATCAGTGATTTTGACCTTCTTATCGTCATGAATACCCTTCAAAGAAGTGACTGTGATATTCTTATTCGACATAACTTCCAACGATCTAGATCCAGTGATTTTTGAACTTGAGCTTATACTACGTATAAGAGTAAAGAACCTAGGCAAACTACTTAAAACAGATAACTTGTAATTGTAAAAGATTTTGTGAAGTACAAATTATATGGTGCATAAAAAAAAGTAAACTGTCCCAATACCTCTCCTTAAAAGTATTCGTAGTTGAACAAAACCTTAATTGTAGTGTAGAAACTGGAAATCCTAACTTCCCCAACTAATATGAAAAACATTTTAAAATAGGTATATTCGAAATAATTTAATTTAAGTCTACTATTGTGTTATTACTTACCATCAGTGATCCTGGCTCTACAAAGTTGTAGTATAACAATCAATGGATTTATTAAAAGAACATTATAGAAATAGCAAAATCGAATCCACATAACCATCCCACATGGTTATGGTCGACAACTCTCCCTGAATAAAAACAAATCGATTTCGTAATAAAGGCTATATATTTATCTATCTTTATTTATACAAATAAAGAAGGCATAATAATTTTACAAAAATACATACCTACAATCTTCAATGACGAAATCAATAACCTTTGAAGATTTTGATTAACTTGAATAACTTTTGGCTCATTAGTGAATTACACGACCAATCAAATCTGTGAAAACAATCAATAACATAGGAAGATTGCATATATGAATGAATTAGAATAATATGAAAGAAGAATGTAAGCAACACTAAATGTAGGACGACGTTGTAATGATAACTTACCAATTAATTGGTTACAATAAACACCTCATTGAGTCTTCAAGGATCTAAATTTGCTAAATTTAAACACGCGTTTGGAAAAAATGGAATCATTCTAATTCGAAATAATGATCACCGTGGCATTGTTTGCTTTCATATTGTATTTGTGCTTGCACGACTTAACCTCACACGGAACATATGCACACTGTTTAAATAATGTATAAATGCAATACATACATTATAGTCAAGAAATAAGCACTCCAGAGTTTAGTGGTTCAAGGGTGTGCGTTGATATTCTCTAGACAAATAACAATGCATTAACCGAAGGCGTCTAGATGTTTCTCTTGTCTTAGGAGAGAGATCAGATGCAGAAAGAAAATTTTACTCCGTCACTAATTAATGGAGAGAAAGCTAATACAAATAAAATGGAACAATAAAAAGTATATAGTGGTAGAAAATAAAAGACTTTATAATCCTTTTATAAGTAATTTACCCGTGAGGCCTTAGCATATATATATATATATATATATATATATATATATATATATATATTGGTTATATTATAAATTACTTAAATTATTCGGTGATAAGCATCCAATACAGAGGTAAATTTGTCAGTAAAAGAAAAAAAAAACTGACCAATATGTAGAATATGTAGAATTATTAAAAGTTATAATATATCCTGGAAGAAGAAAAGTTATAATATATCCAATTTATAATTTTTCCGTATATATTTCCTTATTATACTTTTAAGATTAATGTTCTGGATTATATTAATTAATTAATAATAATTAATAATTAATAATTAATATTAATAATTAATTAATTAATTAATAATTAATATTAATAATTAATAATAATAATAATAATAAATAATAATTAATAATTAATATTAATAATAATAATTTTATAATTACTTAATTTATTTAATTACTTAATAATAATAATTTTATAATTAAGAATTTTATAATTACTTAATTATTATATTAATAAATAATCAATTATATATTCATTTTTGTATACCCTAATTAATATATTGTAAGAATATTTTATGAATATTTGATATTGGTAATTGATATCATGGTAAGTTGGTCAATTTTATTTTTTATTTTTTTTATTTATTTATTTTTTTTATCATTACGTTGTTAGTTTCCTTATATTTATTTATTCATTTATTTATATACAATATTAATACTTACTTTTTCCGCCAAACTTTTATATAGTCAATTAATTAAATATTTTATTAGTCAAATAATTAATAAAATTTATTTGATAAGTAAATGTAAAAATTGAAATTAATTAAAATATATTACTTGATAATATTATTTCCATATTCATGTATTAATGTAATTACATACCGTATAGAAAAGATATTAATTAGGTATTAGGTAATTGGGTAATAGGTAATAACATAATAGCATAATTGATAATATTATGTATGATATTATATTCTTTAATACAATTGGTAACATTATTGTTTACAAATTCTATTTATTGGTCAATTTTTTTACTTGCAAATTCTTACTTATAAAGGGATCATTTTCATTTTCTACAACTACATACGATGTATTCTTCCATTTCATGTGTATTAGCATATATTCTCTCTTTTAATTAGTGATAGATTCAAACTTTCTTTCTGCATCCGATCACTCTCTAAGACAAGGCCGAAAAACATTTATACGCCTTCGGTTAATGCGTTGTTATTTTTTTAGAGAATATAAACACAAACCCTTGAATCACCTAATTAAACTCTAGAGTCCTTATTTAATGACTATAGGGTATGTATTATACATTACTAGTATTTGTCCCGTGCGATGCACGAAAAATATGTTATAAAAATATACCCTATATGAGGTTTATTCATATATAAAATTTTTGTTATTTAATAATTATTATGTGTGAATTCTTATGATAAAATTATGAATATAAATATATTTACAATTAAAATAATATTTAAGGTGTGTGATTACTACAAATCTTAAATTATATTAAAAATTTAGTACATAGTATTTAATATTACAAATTTTTAAGAACTTAGTAAATTACAATAGTAATTGAATTACAATTTTAGAGTCACCACGGATCAAAATTTTTAGACATTTGAGATTTCTAACTCTAGATGTAGCAACATACA